TAGTCGGTGCCTAGCAGATTACAGTGGAAGATAGCAAATGACAGCCAAATAAAGTAATGTCTTTTTAACGGAAACAGAACAACTCAGCTTCTAAATCTTCGACTAAATAGTAAAAATGCGATGGCACTCAGTAAACGCATGTTTGAGTAAGAATACAGAACGAGACAGTTAAGTAATGCTTACACCAGTCCTCTACGCCCGGTCAACCGCCGGGATAAAACGAGATTTTCAAACTCTTACCTTCGAAATAGCAACTCATCTAGGGTGCACACCCTTGCAGTTCAAATCTTTAGCGAGTTTTCACAATACTCAGACAGCAGTTTCTACCGGTTTTCCTCCCCTGAATTCCGTTTTACGAAGAGAGCCTACCAACACGTCCCAGTTGATCATAAGCAGGCAATTTAATGAAATATTTGTGATTTAACTTTGCCTTATATAAGATAGGTTTCAAAACGTTAAGCAGACTCCATATTCCGTACTTGTTTGCTGTACTGTATGTCATCGGAAATTTCTCAATTAAAAACTGATTGCCTTGGCGATGTTAATGCATCCGGTTGTACTGAAGGCTTTTTAGCGAGCATAGCTTTGCTTTGTATAGGCTACCATAAGGCAACTGCATTGATATGTCCGCGGGTTAGGAAAAACACACCATTAGTTAGATAAATCGATTAACCCTATATTCGCTTACTATAATTCCGAACACGGTCATGGTAACTTTCACAACACAAAAATGGGCCAAGTAGATCTGGTGTTTTGACATTACTTTCGAGATTGCCGCGTTATAGTCAGAATGCCACCTATCGGATTGGAAATGGGTTTGCATCTACTCGGTGCTTCGGGATGCGCCGAGTACGGTGCATCAACAGAACTAATCAAGCTAAATAGAAAACGAGTAAATATCTATTGCTAGATTTTGTGTTAGACTGTAATGACCACTGCAAGTATGATGATTCTGAAGTGCTCTGCCCACACTACAATTGCATCGTCCGTGCATCAGATTTACTTTTAGATTCAGCAGTCACATATGCGGGTTAGTATGAGAATGAAAAGGGTATTTTTAAAGAATACTTACCATTCCAATTTATGGTCTGCGTTTGATTATCGTTATGCGAATTGCATAGGAATACAGACTCGTTTCGGTTGTCCAATCGCTCATAATTATAGGTGAAGGTAAATGTATTACCATTCTCTTCTATGTCTAAATATTAAAAATATCCCTGAAACACTTCAAGCAGGAACTTTGGTAACATATGAGGAAACAAAAGACAATGCTTACGGCACATTCCCTCCTCGGAAGAACTCGTTAGGCCTTTGCAGAATACCTCGTTGTCCATGGTGCACTCAAATTCCTGTAGTGTAATCAATTTTTAGACAAATAGAACAAAAGCATGGCAGAGTTGGTCCATGTTTTCCAATGAAAACGCAGGGCAGAACAAAAAACAATACAATGCCAAGAACATCGGTTTACTACCTGTATTGTTGATATTTACAATTGTGGATAAAACACTTCGACTGAAGAACTACTTTGAAGGGGATAAAATGGTATATACTGGGGTTAGGTATCACTAGCCGATGACGCCTAACAAGGCAGAAAAGGCTTACCTAGTGCCCCCTGTCTTTGCTGGTAATGTCCTTATGCCTATATCCTAGCGCCTCGCAGTGGAGGCTCGAGAGAGAGCTCTAAAGACAATAT